GCTTGCAAAAGACAAGGGGGAACAAAACAGTCTCTGATTTGCTCTTTATCAGATGGAAGCCCTAACTAATGGCACTCATAAGCCATCAATCTGCCCTTCATAACCAACCATCTTCTGCTATGACAATTAAACAAGAGTACACCTACAATGGGCAAGCGGCAGGTCACACGCACATGAGGAAGAGGCTCTCCAGGAAGGCCCCGCAGGAGGGTATGTGGTGTGATGCTGAGGACTTGAGCTCAGGGGTCACAGGCTGGGCCAGCCACCTGACTTCTCCAAGCCTGAGCTTCCTCATCTGGAAGGAGAGGTAACCATCCCCACCTGGCGAGGTTGTGGCCCACTCAGAGGAGATACCACATGAAAAGCGTCCGCATAGGGCAGAGCCTGACAGAGTCAGGTTCAGTGAATGGTAGGGTTGCTCCTTTTTATTATCAGCAAGTCTACTTGATATGAATTATAAATAGGTTGAGGAACAAGCTGAAGTTAAGTGCATCTTAAAGACATGTTGGAAAAAAGATGAAGGCCAGAAAAGCAGAAGGGTCTGAGAAAAGTACAGCACAGAAGCCCATTTTGATGTCTATCTGTGGTCCCCTGAGCTAACATGTGCCTCTGTGACTGTGCAAGTATATCAGGCGGCGTGGACACAGATGTCCTCACCCCGCATGCTGTTCGGGCTTCTGAGTCCATCTGCAAGTGGGGCTTGGTGACATGGCAAACACATTATCCTCCACCTGTGGAGGAGACACAGGTGTGTGTAATCCTGGCCGGGGGTGGGAGGGATCCTACAAAGAAGGTAATCAAGGGCCACTCAGGACAATGGAGAAACGACTCAGCACTGGGAAAAGGCTTGGGAGAGAAACCAGAAGACATAGGTCCTAGAAAAAACCTGAGACTTTAGCCAAGTCTCTTAACCTATTGGGCCTTGGTTTATTTATCCTTCTAGCGGGTAAAGCAATCCTTGCCCTGTCTTCCTCCCTGACCGTGGACGGGACTCATAAGACAATGGATGCGGAAGTGTTTTATAAACTCTGTAACAGAAGCATGTGGTGTTGGGGGGTGGGGGGGAGGTAGGAAGTGAGCCATATTTTCACCAGTGACATGAATGAGGAGATGGAGAAAAGGCTCAGGACTTCAGGGAATGCAAGAGGGGCTGGACCTTGGAATGGGAGAGGGGAGCAATGGTGGGATCAGTACCCTGGATGGCCAAGAACCAAGGGGTGAAGGGTCCATGAGGATAGACCTGGATCATCAGGAAGCTGAGTGTATTAAGAGCGTGGCTTCTTTGGGGCTTGGGTGAGAATAGAGTCACCCCAAGGCCACAGTGACTCAGAGCTTGGAAATATCACCGAGGCAGGGATATAGCTAGAGCCGAGGTGGCCTGGAGAAGAGAATAGCCATCTATGGGATTTGGGGGCTGGACACAACCTTAGAAATCACCTTGGACAGACATTCTCCAACTTTTTTTTTTTTTTTTTGGAACAGAGAGAACCTAGGTGACCTCTGAGTTTCCACAGAGTAGAATTCTCAAATCCCTGGTTGAGCCTCATTATTTTAAGGAGACACAATGGAATCCCAGAGAAGAGATGTGGTTGTCCAAAGGTGACATAGCAAGTGAGTTGTCACACTGGGACTGGAATTCAGGTTTTCTGATTCCCAATCCTGTATCTTAGCTTCCAAATTGGCTCTGTGTGTAGGAAAAAACAGGGGGGCAGGGTGGGCTTTAAGGATGTGATTTCATAAGTATGAAGATCCTCAAATCTAAGGACACCTCCCCTCAGCTGCCCAACGGTGCCTGAAATCCCACCTTAACCAACTTACTCACAGGACTTCAAGAGTCTCAAGTTTGGAGAAGTTACCTTCTCTCCCCCTCCCGCAGGCCCCCGGGGAAGGGGCTGCTGAGTACTGACAGAGGTGCTTCGTTCAATCAAAGTGACATGTCTGTCTTCCTGTAGCTTCCTACTGCAAGTCCCAATACTGCCCTTCGTCGCACACACCCAGGTCCTCTGCCACAGGCCAGCTCTTTGAGTAATCGAGGACAGTTCTCGTGTCCCTTTCCCCAGTGTGATTTCCAGACTACATCTCTCATTGTCGTTGGTTCTCCAGCTTTCTCTCTTTTCACTGCCTGAGCCCACTACTCTGTATGTTCTCCATTTGGTGTTCTCTCGGAAGTGCTCTCTAACACTGTGTCCCATTATGCTGGGGGCACACTCATTAGAGCAAGTGGGTCATTTCCTTCATCTTTGGGGCCGTAGCTCCATCAATGCATCCTCAGATCACAATGATTTTCCTGCATTCCACCCTTCGGCCTCCCATTTAATACTGTGCTGACTAAGAAGCCATTAATTTATACACAGGCTTTCCTGAGCCACTTCCTTGCCATACCTCACAGTCTGACCTCCTGTCTTCTCATTTAAAGATCTAAGAGCAGGGCCTCACACTCTTTGCCAGGAAATTTCACCTTGTTACATTTAGCCCACAATTCTTAGCAGCCCAGATCTTTTTGGATCCCGGTTCTGTCTCTCTGGTGAATCCGTTCTCCTTCTCAGGTTCCTGCCCCCTGCAGAGAGGTCCTTTGCACCTCCCTCCAAGTCACCGAGGCCTTCACAATGTGGGACTTGTCCCCTGGTTCATCTGCCCCATAGAATACGTGAGCCTGCTCTTCCACCTCATGACATCTATAGGGCATAATAATATGGAACATGCTTGTACCAGAATATTAGGTGACTAAAGTAAGGTACCATTAAATTCTAAAAGGCACAGTGAAAAGGAAAGAGATTATGTCAAAGAGATATGAATAGTGGTCTCTGTGTAATGGGTCATTTTTCCCCATGCTTCATTACACTCTTCATCCAAGTCATATTTAATGAAGGCCTTGTGTGTGTATCTTCCAAAATTTTTATGCCAAGGATGTGTTATTTGGAAAACCAGGAAAAAATTAAGTGAAAATAAAATGAAAAAAATAAAGACTCTTTCCCTAGGTGGACCTTGATGACTTCATCAGCACTCTTTGGGGAAAAGCATCCCAGCCCTCCCTGTACCGAACTGTGCTGCCTTCCACCTGCAAGTCCCCTTCTTGCAGGGAAATCTTCTCGGCCTCCTGCAGGAGCCCAGGGTGTTCTCCCCTCAGCCCGCAATCCACAGAAACCTTGGGAAAGAAGCACCAAGACCATGGGGGAGGGGGGCTTGCCTTTGTGTGCAGCCCAACATCGCAGGAATCACTTCATGCACCTGCCCGGGTGTTGTTCCATCTAAGGGAACGCGTTAAAGGCAGTTTTCCTGTCAACAGTTTTTGTAAAATGCTCCGAGAGAGCATAAAGGCCATGGTCCCAGTGGGTGCAGGATTCAGAAGGGCCTCCAGGAGGGTGGTGAGGAAAAGGGCCCAGCCATTAAGCGTCTGCCTTCAGCTTAGGTTGTGATCCCAGGGTCCTGGGATCAAGCCCCACCTCGGGGCTTCTGATCTCTGCCGAGAGATCAGAAGTTTCTCCCTGTCCCTCTGCCCCCCCACTCATGCGCACTCTCTCTCTTTCTCTCTCTCAAATAAGTAAAATCTTTAAAAAAGGGGAGGCAACCAGAATGACCCACTTGAGTCACTTCTAGGACTTCCTGAGGGAGGCAGGGCTACCGTTCCTCCTCTGCCCTCCTCTCTGAAGACCAAAGGAAGCCTGGAAGTGTCGGGGTCCTCCCGGACTCCAGGAGATGGGACACCTGAGGCTTCACCAGGCTAAGTCCAGGCTTAGGGGCAAAACCCGGCCCTGGCTTACCCTCCTCCGACCAGCAGAGGGCGCGCGCCACCCGCGAGAAGGAGAGTGCCTCGCCAAGCCACCGCCGGGAGCCGCGGGTGCGGAACCCGGGGCGGGGGGATCCCTCTTTCTGAAAATCAGGAGGCAGATCCACAGAAGAAATAGCGTTGGAGATACAGGGGCAGGGGAGCGTTTTGTGAATGAGGGTGAGAGAAAGTCAAAGTGAGGGTAGGCTGGGGAGGGGAGGGGAGGTGGGGAAGGAGACGAACTGGAGACAGGAAAGGTTGAAATGGTGTGCGGATGAGACAGGCTGGGATGGAGGGTGGGGTGGGGTGGGGTGAGGTGAAGGGGCAGGTGGAAGGCAGGGTGAGGCAGGTTGGCGTCGACTGCCCGGCGGTCAGTCGGGTGGGGCTGCTGCAGCAGGGCAATCTCCTTCTTGGTCTGAGCCTACCCACCAGAGGCTCCTCTGTCTCCTCTAGGAGCACCCAAGTCGGCTTTGCCCTCATTTTCTTCAACTCTTCCTTGTAAGGCCTTTGTGCTCAGGCCTGAGCTGGGCATCTCCTTTTCCCCTGAAAGAAAGGTTCTGGTGCATCAAAGAACACAGAGAGGAGGCAGTAGGGAGCTTGGGAGCTTTAATGGGTCTGGAAGGGAATAGAAACACACCAGGCCATCCTGCGGGGGGGAGAGAGAGAGAGAGAGAGGAAGGGGGGCTGGAAGCTACCTAGATGAGCCACAGGGGCAAGTCCGGTGAAGCCCGGGTAGTCAAGGAGCAGGTGGACTGTGTGAGGCCGCTATCATTCTAGGATGGGGCAGCTCAGCGGGGGGAAGAAAAAACGAGAAAAGATTTGGAATTGGAAAAAGAGAGATTATAATGGAGGGGGCTTCCAGGAGCCAGGCGGAAGTACTGGTGGAGGGCAGAAAAAGACAGGAGAGGTCCGGGAACCCCCTTCGGGGCTCTGGGGCCTAGAAGATAGAGGTTAAAGAAAGCCGGGGGGGGGGCACGGTCACTCTCCCCCAGGGGCTGAGGGTACAGCGAGGGGCGGGGGCGGTGGCAAATCCAGTGTTAAAAGAAGACGGAGGAGGCTTCAGGTCCCTTCCCTCCCCTCCCCCTCAGCCCCCCGGGGCTGGGTGCGGCGACGCCGTAAAATCTGAGATCAAAGGAACGGTGGGGGAGGCTCCGGGCCCCTTCCCCGGGTGTGGATGGGACCGAGCGAGGCTCTGGGCGCCTGGGAGAGGCCGCACGGCTCCCGGCCGCCCCGTCTAGTGGTAGTGGCCGCCCAAGTGCGAGGCGGCGGCCACCGCGCCGAAGGGCCCGGGCGGGGGCTGCAAGCCGGGGCTGGGGTACAGTGCGGCGGTGGCGGCGGCGGTGGCGGCGGGTCCCGGGCCCGGCCAGTAGGAGAAGCCGGCGGGCGCGACGCCGGCCGACGCGGCCATAAGGTTGAGTTTGGAGAGGCCGGGGAAGGGCAGCGGGGCGAGGCCAGCCGGCAGCTTGTAGAGCGCGCCGTCCTGGGCGGCGGCGGCTGCGGCGGCGGCGGCGGCGGCGGCGGCGTGGGCGTGCGCGGGCGGCGGCTGGCAGGCCTGGGCCAGACCCTGGAAGTCGAAGCGGTAGGCGTAGCGCTTGCCATGCACCTTGCTCATGATGTTCTTGTCGTAGTAGTAGCGCAGCGCGCGGCTCAGCTTGTCGTAGTTCATGTTGGGCTTGCTCTTGCGCTCGCCCCAGCGCCGCGCCACCTCGTCTGGGTCAGTGAGCTTGAACTCGCCGTGGCCGCCCTCCCACGCGATGCAGCCGGCGTTGGCTCGGTCCGCCAGGAGCTCCAGCAGAAACTGCCAGAGCTGGATCTGCCCGCTGCCTGTGGGGAGGGGGCGGTCAGCCACGGGCGGGACGGGGGAGGCGAGGGGCGGGGAGGGGGGAGAGGTGAGGCGGCTGACCGATCCGGCCGGGTGGGAACCCGCGTCGGGTGAGGGAAAAAGCGCGCGTCGGGCAGGACAGCTGGGCGCCGCTGCAGCGGCTGGCCGGGGAGGGGCCGATCGGCCGAGCGGTCCTTAGCCTTTCCCGTGCTTTTGCACAATGGAAGCACGGCCCCCTCTTAGGAGGACGCAGCCCCGCGGGCTCCTGGCTTTGTGAGAATTGGGCAGGAGGGCGAAGCACAGCCTCCTCGGCGTGGAGGTAGCGGCGCACCGGGACACGCGGTTCTGGGAAGCCAGCAAGGGCCCAATACCCGCCCCTACTGCCACCTTGGCCCTGCGCCCTTATTCGGAGCGGAGAGGAGCCTACACGACCGCACAGGGTCGTCTGCGCAGGTGCTTAGACTGCCACATCCCAGCTGGACCATGTCCGCAAGTCCAGGGGGAAGAGGCCGGGGTGCAGGGGGACCACCCCCGCCGCTAGACAAGGCCTAGCCCTCAAAGGCACACAGTTGGACCCGCCCCACCTGAGTTGGAGAAGAGGTGGAGGCCGGCTTTCTTGCCGTACCAGTCAGACAGGAATGGGAGCAGTGGCCTCCAAAGCGTGCGAAGAGGGTCAGACTCTGAAGGCTCCTCACCCCCTCCAGGGTCGGGGATGCAGAGCGCCACGCTGGCGTTACTGGGGTTCCGCCCTGTTTTTCGGACCAGCCGGGATTCCCGGCCTGGGAAGGTGTCACACTTTGGGGGCGTGATGCACAGCTCTTAGGAGAGGAGAGAAGACCTGGAAGCCGCTCGGCTTGGCTCCCTGCCTCCTCCCATCTTTGGTCATCTCTGGACTCTTTGGGCCGGACCGTCCAGATTTCGGGATTTCTGGAAGCGGCAAGTAGGATTTTCCCGGATATTCGGGTGATGTGAGAGAGGGCTGCTGGATAATTCTCTCTCACTCCCCTGTTTTGGAGCCTCAGTCAGACAAGGGGAGAAAAATCTTGATAAAAGACTTCCTCTCACTCTCTTTTAGGGGAGAGAGAAAAAAAGGATTTTCCTCGAAGTATTCTGATTATTGATTCAAATCAAGCCTGGGGGAGCCTCTCTTCCTTTCTCAACCGCTTGCTCTGAACCCAGACGCTGCCCCTCACCATCATTTCAACCCCAATCCCTCCACACCAGCTCAGCCAGTAGCTGCCTGACTCCAGGTTGGGAGCTTTAGGGTCAGGAAAAAGGGAAGGTTAAGGGAAGGTTTGGGTTAAAATGTACAGCGGGCACCCACACAGACTGACATCAGAGGCTTGGAAACCCATTCTTGCTGGGAGTCCGTTCCCTTTTGGATAAAGCTGTTGCCAACGTTGTCATTGTGGTTACTGTAACTTGGTACCAGGTCTAGGGTACTGGGGGGGGAGGGGTAGGCTGTGGGGAGGCTTTGCCTGGAGGGCCAGCCAGGCTCAGAGACCAACAAGACAAAGCCAAGAGTAATTTAGCGACTTGCGAAGCCCGGTGGAGGAACCTGAGGATCAATGTCAATGGCCCAGCCCACTTGGCCCCCAGAGCCCTGCTGGCCTGGGCCATTGAGGCAGGTAGGTGCTGAGCCAGTGCTAGTGGTGAGAAGGACTGGAGTGGTCAGGGAGTAATTCCCCTTGCCCAGAGGTGCCCTGGCCTTGTGGTCCTGCTGCCAAGAGGGGAAAGACACCAAGCACCTGGGTCCTGGCCCCTCACTATAAAAAGGCCAAGGGCCAGGATCCTCTCCCTCTGCCCTGGTCTGCAGGTCCAGCTCTGGGACTCAGAATATACTGGAGTGGAGCCCAAGGCCAAGTGGATGCCCCTCCCCCCAGCCTCCCCACAGTCACGCCTGGACCCTCCCTTCCCAGAGCCCCGCTGTGCACATCACCTCCACCCTCTGGTCAGGTGGCGGTGGCGCCCGTCCTTCTGGGGTGGGTGCCCCGGCCTCCATCCGCTGTCCTCACCCCCACCCTCAACCCCCGTCCGCGGGCCAGCTCACCTTTCTGTACCGCTGGGCTCAGCGGCCCCCACCCCGGGCTCTTCCCTTCCTTGAAGAGACCGTCTCCGACGGGATCTGTAGCAGCAGGAAAAAACAGTCAGGAGGACCCGGGCGGAGGTTGTGGGCTTGACCGAAAGGGTTCCGGGCCAAGGCTCGGGGGGAGGTGGGGGGGGGTTGGTTCCTGGGTGCGAGGCTGGGGGCTTGAGCCGCCAGCCCCTCCTCCCCGAGCCTGGCCCGGGCGCGCGCCGCGCGGAGCCCCTCCATAACGCCCAAGTCAGGAAACGCGTCCAGGAAAAAGGAAATCCGCTTTCCGAACGGGCCGGCGGGAGCCTTATAAAGCCGAGCAGGGAGTGCGCCCGCGGAGCGGGAGCGCCCGGAGCCCATCGGAGAAGAGAGGAGGGCGCCTGGAAGGCTGGGCTGGTGGGAACGCTCGGAGCACCGAGGTGAGAAGCCACGAGGGCGCAGGGGCGACGCTCAGCTGACCACAGCTTCCCAATGCTGAACGCACACTGAGTCAGTCCCCTGCCACACCGAAGACCCCTGCTCCCCCTACCAGGCTCCCTCAGCCGCTGAGCTCACGCCCTCGGGCTCCCAGGTTCCCAGTCTGCTCACTTCGAGTCCTTAGACCTCACACTAAAACCCCAAAGCTCTCTATCTGCCTTTAAGGTCCCCCAGTGCCCCTCGATTGCTCAGTCCTCCCAGCAATCCTAGTCTCTGGTCCCTTTCCCTTGGACCCCAGCAACCCCTTCCCATGCCCGAACCCAAACTTCCGGCCCCAGGTCTTGGTGCCTCCAGCCCCCGGCTGGTCCCTGGTACCTGGCAGGTACATGTTGATCAGCAGGGGCTGGGAGGCGCCGCTCTGTCTCATCGCCGCCAGGGTCTGGGTGGTGGGAGGTGTGTGGGGGGGGGGATGAGAAAGGGGGGACGCGTCAGGCTTTGCGCTCCGGGGCACCGATCCCCGCCCGAGGCAACCGCGGGTGACAAGAAGACGGCGCGGGTCCGGGAGGGCCTGGCGGGAGGGGGCTGCCCGGGTGTGGCGGGGAATGGAGGGGGTCCTGGAGCGATGCTCCCAGCTAGCAGGCTGCCTGGAACCCTCCGGCCCCCCGCGCGGGCAGGGGCCGCAATTTCCGTTTTAATTAAAGCGCTGCTGCCTCGGCCCCCCGGGCCCCGCCCCCGCCCCTCTTATCGCCCCATCGCAATAAAGTCTCCAACGCGCCGCGCCGCAGCCAAGCGCACCCAGCAGCCCCCAGCGCCCCGCAACCCGGGAGACGCGCGGGGGATGGGCCTGGGCCTCCCGCTCTGATAGGGGTCGGGAGCGCATTTCTTTTCCGCCTCCGTGACGCTCAGCAAACAGCGATGGGGCAGGGTACCCGGCCCCACCTCGGACCCCCGGGGCCACAGCCCCTCCCTCCACCCATTCCAGCCCCCATCAAGGCTCCACTCTCCTCCCCCCCTTCCTCCCCCCACCCCCACCCGGGTTCCCGTCTCCAGGCTGCGTTATCTGCATCTTCACTTTTAAATTTCCGCTTCCCTCCCTCTCGCCTGTCGCTCCGCTCCCGGCCGGGCAGCAGTTGCTCGCTTTATCTCCGCCCCCACCTCCTCCCTGCGCCTTCTCCCTCCTCCACGGCTCCCACTCTCTGCTCTTCCCTAGAGACCCGATCTCCTTCCCTGTCTCCCTCTTGATTTGGCCTGTTTCTCGCCTTTCCAGGGCTCCCAGGCCTCTGGGCCAGCGTTGTGTCGTCTCCCCACAACTTCTAGCAGGTTGCCCCTCCTCCCCCTTTTGTAGGTCTCTCCTTCCTCATCTAGTCTCTTCAGTGCCATCCCCCCTTCCTGTCTCTATGCGCACTCTCTCTGTCCTCTCTCCTTCCCCTCCTTTTTTCATTCATTTGTTCCTCACTAATTTGGGTCATGCTGGAGGCTCATGAGCCCCCTTCCATTTCCCCCCAAAAGGATTGCTCTTCCATCCTTCCCTATCCCCTGTCATCCCAGCCTATCATCCACCCTCTCAACTACTCCCATCCTGGTTATCCCTGAACCAGGCTGCAATTGGCACCTTGCTCTAGCAGGAGTAGAAGGGTTGAAACCCGGCTCTGTACTGTATATGGCCTCCAACCCAGGGGAGGTGTGGAGGCTGAAATCCCTTCGAAAGACACTGGTTGTGTATTAGCAAAGCTGATGTGGTTCCCAGGTGGCCTGAAGTCTCTGAGTACCTGTGGGGCTTCTTGGCTCAAGAGAGGCTAGCTAAGGAGGGATGCTAGCTGAAGACGAGGCTCTGGGCTTAGGAGCCCACCTGCAGGCGTCCAGCACCTGGTGGCTACTGTCAGAATTGGTAATCTCAAGGCATTTCCCTCCCACTTCTTGAGCCCAGGAGGTGAGGAGGCTGGGGACTTGATGGCACACAGATTGGAGTGGGCAAGTTTCCTGCAGGATCCATGATCCTGGAGTGCCCAACTGACGATGGCTGGAAAGTCCAACTTGGAGGGTTCTTCAGGGCCCCTGTTCATTCCTCACTTGCTGTAACTGCTGGAGTATTCACCTTTCTGATGGAGGGTGCAAAAGTCAGAAGGAACAAAGGAGGAGTGAGGGAGGCAGAGTCCAGGGGGAATGAGGGGATCCCAGGACCCCAGGATCCTAAAGGAAGATGTGGATGAGGAATCTGGGGGGAACAAAGATGAGAGTTTAGGATGTTCCCTGGAGACCAAACCCAGGGGTTCACAGGTGGGGAGGGCCTTGGAGGTGGGGTTGAGGTCCTAATCCTTTTCCTTCATGCCTTCTTATTCCTTTCCCAGATGGAAACTGAGGAGCAGAAGGTCAGAGCTGAGAGTGGGGAGGCAGTGGAGTTTACTCAATGCTCTCAGCAGAAGGCTGAGACAGAAGGGAGAGGTGCTCAGAGTTGGAGGTCTATCCAGATATCCCAGCTCCGGACTGGTGAGGGATCAACAGCTCAGGCTCTGTGTCTCTGCCTCATTAAAGACTCAGGTGCTGAAGGGGTAGGTGAGCTCTGGAAAGAGCTTGAGAGGTGCCCCCCCCCCACTGCCCCTGGGTCTTGGCTGCGCCAGAAAGGAGATGACCTCCTTCATCCCCTTTGGCCTTGGCTGAGTACAGCCAATGGACAAGTCCCAGGCAGCTTCTCCTCCATCCTCCTCCCACCTGGCTGGGTCCCAGTCCAACAGGGTTCTGCTGACCATCAGCCTACCTAGAATGGGAGAAGGTTGGAAAGGTGAAAACACTCCCAACCTGGTCTTTGAGCCCCCTACTCTCTAGGTGCCAGTGTGGGATGCGGAGTTGGACCTCTAGGTCCAGGAAAACCTAGAAGGTTCCTGTTGACAAAGGCTGCAGCAAATATTAGCTCTCTCAACTCCCTAGTTGTACAGATGGGGACACTAAAACCTAGAGAAGGGGAGTGTCCTATTCAAGTTCCCACTGCCATTCCTGCAGCCATCTTGCTGACTCTTCCCAGCAGCCACAGACCCTCCTAGAGGGAGGGCAGTTTAGCTGATGGTGGATACTAGATCTCCTTTTGCCCATTGCCTACCCTTCCAAAGCAGGAAGAGGGAAGAAGGGCTGCTGGGCTCTGAGGCTAGTTTGTCTGGGTTCTGGGTTCAACTCTGGTTCCCCTATTTCCTAGTTGTATGACTTTGGGGAAATTAGTCTCTTCCTCTGTAAAATGGGGATTACAGTACCTATCATACAGAATTATGAGGCTTATATAACCCATGCTGAGCACTCAGACAGCCTTACATTTAGCTATTATTATTATTATCATCCTCCAAGGGGACAGTTAAGAGCCTGTGACCAGGCAGGAACTCCAGACTCTTTGGGGGCCCACAGAGGTGTGGGGTTCTGCTGAGGCCTGAGGCTTTTAGCCCCAGCTCAGGTCAGCCTTCCCTTAACAGCCTGAATTTGAGGTCAGGAGCCCTGTGTTCAAGTCCTGGTTTTGTCACCAGTAAATTGGATGACCTCATCAAGGCTTCTCCCTCTCAGACAGCCCAGAATCTTTCTTAATTGGTGAAATGGATGAAGTATGGGAGGTGTTAAGAGAACCAAATGCAGCAGGCACCTGGACTCTAGAACCCATCCATTTAAAAAGCAGAATTCATACTCTACCCAGAATTCTGTCCCTTGCTCCCCGTACTCTACCCTGGGATCCATGCGGGGGGGGCAGTGCAGGGGAATGAGGGCCCTACTTTGACTGCCCCGGTGCTTTTCCATAGCACCACAAGCATTTTCAGTGGTTTCTCCTTGAATCCTCACAACCCTGTGAGACAGACAAGGCAGGGATCAGTAGCTCCACTTCACAAGTGAGGGAATAGAGGTTCAAGGATACTATATGATTGGATCCCAGATGTTCTGACTTCTGGTCCAGGGCTCTTCCCAAGGGAGCAGATGCCTGACTGCACAAGTGGGCCCTTGGGAATGGCTCAGGTCCAAGTCTAACTGTTCTCCAACATTGCCCTACCTCCTCTGGACTCAGGCGATGATCTGGGCCACTCCTCCCCATTGATAGGTCCACTAGGGGCTTGAAAACACAAGCATCCCTGAATGACAGAATGAGGGGAGTCCCAAGGGCCTTGAGGGCCCTGCCTATGTGGGATTGAGAGTATCATTAACTGGGCCAAATAGGGAACTGGGTAGAAACTGCATTGGTGCCAGGGGCTCTGGTGGCTGCTACCACTCAGCCCCAGCATGGCTGTGGGCTTCTGCCACCTGCCCCAGAACCCAGGCTCACTGTGGTCAGTGGCTGAGGGGTTGCCTCTCCAGCTCACCAATCCTCTGAAGAGAGGGGAGGGAGAGGAAGAATGAAGAGAGGGTTCTTTGGAAGAGCTGAGAGGAAGGGTATGAAAGTGCTTTGTCTAAGCTGGAGCTCGATATCATGAAGGGATTGTTATTATTCAGACAAAGGGCCTGGGGGCTCCACTAAGAGAGAGAAAGTCTCCCCTTTAGAAAGCCCTGGGAGGCAGTGGGACCTCCCACTCATTTCTCCTCCTACAGTCTTGCAGAGACTCTATAAAGCTGGGAAAAGTGTGCAGGCTTTGCTCAGTTGGATATCGAGCCAGGGTAAAGATAAAGGCTGGAAATGCCCTGGGGGTTAGGGAGGAACCCAACTGAGCTCTGCATAGAATTAAGGAGGTCCTGCCCTAGGAGCAAGCTGGTGCCTGGCCCACGTGGTTGAAATTCAGCTATGAGCCCTGCTGTAGGGCTGTGTGCACCCAAACCAGAAGATGGCAAAGGCACCATGTGTGCTATGGTACACCTGACCCAAGCTGATGGGCCTTTACCAAGGAGAGGTGTGGGAGTGGTTGTATTTAACAGGATCCCCAAGATTCTTGTCAGCAGTTTTCTCAGCCCTATCAGGGTCTAGCCCCATACATCATAAGCCAGTTTATGCTCCATAGTCAAGAATCCTGAAGCCTGAGAGGAGGGTCAGGTTGGCAGGGAAAGACCTTACGAAAGATTAGGATGAAGATCACAAAGCAAGACCACAAGAAAGAGGCAAGAGGGGCAGGCAGGTTCAGGAGCCTTTATTGAGGGTCCTCAGGGGAGGTGTCAGGGCTGTGGAGCTTAGTGCTGGACTCTTCGAATGGACTGCAGCAGCCCGGTGTGGGCCTGCGTGCCAAATTCACTGTAGGTACGGAACTCCCCACTGTGCCGGTCCCGCTCCAATACATACTGGTAGCCCCGGTAGCCTGGGTACTGGTAGGCCACCCACCTAGGCCAGTGAGAGCACAAGGGTGGTAAGCAGGCTCAGCCCCCACCCCCACCAATGTCCCCCATTAGTAGCCTTCCTTTCTCAGCCCCCAACCCCCCAGCTCCAAAACCATTGCTTCAATTTTCCCTACATGGATCTCTCTCTGCCCGGCCCACTGC